CACAATATGTACAATTTGACAAAGAACAACATACTCAAAGGTCTGAAAAATTGTTGAAAATTGGAAGAGCAGAGACGAGAAAAACAACATAAGGGTACTTAAAACATGGAGTCACACAGCCAAAAAACCCGTTTTAGTCATAAGCCCCTCTTTCGAGGGCGCGGACGCGGCCGCGCGAGGGGCTTAGTTAAGCTAAGTTTTTATACATGAAGTGTCCAAATCCAGAATTTTACTCAGACATTATGCTTATGAGAATCTAAAATTCAGTCAAATGAATGGAATCTCATGGGATTGGATGACTGTGAGCTTGAGGCTTGTTGTTCAAAAATTGGAAAAATGGTGTGATGCCCAGAAGAATTTGCTTCAGCCTTGTTAGTCCACATCTGAGTTCCCCACATATACATCACACAACTTGACTTTGGACTGATACACCAACCTATGCCACATTTATTTAGAAATCTCTATCTCTCAACCCAACCCACAGTTACCTTTTCAGCAGAAAATCATGGCATCATTAGTTCATTTGAACAAAATCATTCAAAGTCATGATGTTTTTTGAATCTTGTTGCCAAACCTTATTCCTACATGGGCTGTCCAAACCAATTTGGTGTGTTAGTTGGGAGAGCTTGAACCCTTGCTTGATCCATTCTGTCAGGGATTTAGTAAAGTTAGCACCCATGAAACTCCAAATCTTAACCCAAGTTTTCAGCCTTGGGCCCGTGAATTTGATCTCTGATGTCTGCAAAGGGTAACTTGATGTTTTTACCAGCAACAGTAGGCCCCAGCTGATCTGAAATTATAATTACTTCAGATCAAGTTAGGTCATATCAAGCTTAATTTTGACCACATGATGTCCCTCAAAATTGGAAGAAGAAGCACTTGAATACATACATAGTATACATAGTATACATAGTTTCCTCAGGAAGAACTGTCTGAAGAAAATCCTGTGTCTGTGAAAGAGATGAAAAGGATGACCACAGCAGATATACCACTGCATCTGGTGTAAGGCTTGCACCAATCCTGGCCCACCAATTTCTGGACTGGGACTTATGTCTGGCTCCAGAGGGTCTATGGATGAGAGAGATGTCTCTTAGAAAGGGGTTTGTTACATAGTTGCTGCTGTAGTGGTTAGATTGTACCACGAGGAAAAAGTGCATAGGTACAGATGTACAACTTGGTAGAACCTGAGGCAGAGTGCAACTGCTGTGTTGCGTTGGAAGCAACCTGCCATTGTGCACAACACAATGAACTCATTTCAAACCTGGAACCCCACAACACAACAGGCAATTGCAAATCCTGTTATGTGGCCCAAAATGCAAAGGACCATTGCTCTGGTTATTCACAAAGGTTTCATTTGTGTCAGCCCTGAGTACTAAACCAGCGTACCAATGGGCGACAAATATATTAAAAAACCTTAAAAACAGCAATTACAACTCAAGGCTCAGTTTCAAGAGTCAAGTTACATATGAATTGGCATATGTAACATGTGCAAAACTTACATCAAAGAGTGTGTACGTACACAACTTTCATGTGAACCAAAGCTACATATATTTCACAGACGTAACACATATGTAACAAGTGAAATATACTTATAACCCAATAATAACCGTGTTACTGTAATTAACCTAACCTTAGAACCACAATTTGTGCGCACTTGTAGTCCAAGGATTCTCAAGGTTCAGACTATATAAACCCTGGAGATCCCACCAGTTTTGAATCATCACATTATCATTCAACAACCATTACAAATTGCTCACTTCATCTTCCTAGAACTTTTAAAACTTTGTTTAACATCTACAAACTTTAAAAGCTTGATTCTACGAACCTTGAAACCTCAACCTTGTGTCTTGTTGACTATATTGTGTGCGCATCAACCCTTGTTTCTGTCTGATTAGATTCCTTAATCAGTAGTTTTTGTAATATCCATACGGTGGAATTACGTATAAGGAAGTAGTCCTTGAGTGCTGCTTGTATCAGATTTGGGATTCATCTGATATAAGAAACTCTTAATCTACGGGGAAATCTCTATTAGTCAGAGTGTAAAGTTCCCGGTGTTATAAAAGATTTTAACACCACCTTCTTTGACCTTTCTTTGAATAAGAAGAGGATCAAATTAGGATTGAGAACTGCGCGTCAGTTGCTCTTATTTTTAATTATTGCAAGGACAATAATTAACCCAAAATCCCTGGGCAAAATCCTTTGTTTAAAGGTCAACTAACTGGAGTCTTTACTTGTTTATTCCAAGTAAAGCTCCTACGCCCACGTCTTTACCCGCTCAAACTCGTGGATACTAATCCCCACGAGTCTAGTAGAAGTTTGTTTAAACTTCTATCCTCTTTTTATTGAATCTACTAGCCCAACAGACGCTAGTAGGCTCACAATTTGTTTGAGGTGAAGATTTGAATGTGGCTTGATGAGTGGGTCCAGGTATTCATGATGAATTCCCAAGCTGGCAAGCTGCTGGCCCCATACCTACCTGTTGCTGGGTTGTGTTGCTCACAACAGGTTCAAACCTTACACACTGTTGAGCAACACACCGGGAAATGGTCTGATCCATTGTCTTGCGTTGCTTCTCAGGGTTTTCCCCATTGCTTGGTGTTGCTGTATGTTCCTTTCTCAGAGCAACACACCGGCCCAACATTGTAGAGTGGACTATATAAGTATACACATAACTAGGTATAAGGATTATTAAATTACACAAAAAGTTGACTCTTGTACCAGGCCTAGCCCTGGGCCCGGGGCCATGTATTTTTCTGGATTCATGACATTCATCACCTTTAATGTACAAGAATCCTGTGAAATCTTGCAGCATTGAACTAAATAAGATGTACTTGAGCAATAAAGCTACTGGACATTCTGGGAAAAGTTATCACATGCTCAAGGTGCTTCCAATCAACAGGGCCTATCCTTGGTGTTTTTCTGGCACTGTTCTTGTCCCTGAAACTCAATATTCTGGCCCTGAACTCCCACGGGCTTTGACCCAAAAGCCTTCAAAGTCATGGTTGAGCTGGCCTTGGAGCCTGGGCTGGCCCAGGGGGCCAGACCCTCATCTAATGGAAGCAAGATCAGGTCTGGTCTGGTCTTTGACACCATTGTTCACTCTAACACCCAACCACATATGCTCTCTATGCAGTAAAGGCTTGGGACTTTCACATCTTTATTCAGCAGACCATCTTTCATGGTATTACCCTTTCAAACCTTAATGCATTCTTATTCCTTGACATACTGGAGGCAGCTGCACTATATTTGTGACTTTTGCACTGAAACAAAAAGTATCAAATTTCAGCTCTGAAGCCATCAAACACACACTTCATGAAACCACTGATAACCATCTTAATCAGACCATCATCTAAGCCATATAACCCATACACTTGAATATATTGTGGGGCGTAGTGGCAGTGCACACAAATCATGAAGGTCCAGCAAAAACCCATCTGAACTATCTCAAAGAACAGAATCAAACCTTACAGTTCACAGTTCACTCAGATGACCAGTACGGCAGATTTCCAGGATTTGCTTGGGGTGAAGATTGATTTAATCTATAGAATGATTAGGTATTACAATATTTTACAACAAGACATATATGCAGCTTCCTGTGAACTGTTGAAAACACAAGAGGTTTACAGATTACTCCTTGATGTAATTCAATACTGACAGGATAAAGATTGAAGTGGAACGTCTTAAGACCAATGTGGTTTAAAAGGGCCCAAGAGTTGAGGAACTCTCTACGGCCGTTCAAATCGTAGTTCATTTGTTCGATGAGATGGTAACAGTCTAACTTCGGCAGTCAGCTCTCGTAGTCTTGATAAATGTTCGGCATTAACGCGATATCTATACCCATCACTGATTCTGTAAAATGAAATCCAACATAAATCCGCAAGTGTTTCAATGTAAAGTGAGGATTTGAAAAAAGCTCACCCTTTGGGTGGGATAGGCAAAGGCCATTCCCACCACCTACTATGATGGCCGAAAATCTCTTGGAAATTTGAAAGTCTTGTCCCTAGATCATAAACATTTAACTTTGTTGCTCCCAATTCTAATTTTTTACGTTCAGACCGCGATAAGCGATCGTCCGATTTATAAACAGGCAAACTATATGATGGAAGTGTGTCTTGGGAGGTTGGGAAGGATTGTTTGTTTGGAAAAGATGGGTTGTCATTGCACGCCAGAGGGCGAGAGCTCGATCGAAGGAGGGCATATGAGTTCTCCGAGTCAGATGATATTGTGGGTCGAACACGTAATGAGCGCTCCATGTTTTCAATAGTGGTACTGTATAATGATTAGATGGAATTCTTATTAGCTGGATATATCATATTCAAATCTTGGTTGACTAAAGATAAGAACTTGTACACTTACCGATTAACGGACACCAAGTACAGGTGGTACGAACCAAAACCTGTGAGGACTAAACCAAACAGTATACCAACAAGAAATAAAAACGCCCAATTCAATGGTGCTAATCGGAATTGATCTTCTGACAGATGTGAATTGACTGTGACGAATTCTGTCAGTCCTTGAAGAGCGGCAAATCCACAGATAATTGCGGTGATGGAGGTCCACACTAGGAAAAGCACAAAATACTTGTGATTATGAAGTCCAACACAGCGGCCACCCAGCCAAGGACAATGATGGTCCATCTAAAGGCAGAAGAGAGATGCGTCGACGTGAGTAAATCATCAATCTATTGAGAGATTCGAACAACAGACTTACCCTCAACACACATCGTTTGCACGAACTGCAATGATGTGCTCTATCAGCTTTGACTAGATCACATTTACGACAAAAGCGCTTCGAGCCATCTGATTTGCACATCAATGTATCGACTCCCGGTAAATCTTTTTGTGGGGCTGGTGTAGATGAAGGAATCACTGCATTCAATGCCGACACTAGATCGAACCGATTTGATGAGCGTTGCTCAGCCAAAGAAACTTGTTCTTGAAAGGTCAGCGTTGAAGGTGCCAAATTTTGCGGCCGGGATGGATTTCCTGGAAGCAAGGCAGTTGATGAAGGACGAGGCGAGTTGAGTGGTAGATGGGCGCGTGGGCGCGGATTATAAATCGTACTGGACTTTGAACTCGAAGGCTGCGGTGTTGCTAAGAAGGGAGTAGCCCCTTCCACTTCAGGATCGGCATCGTCCTGATAATCCTCTTCGTCATCACTTTCTTGAACAACTTCTCTATAGTCGTTATGACTTCGAGGATTTGCGTAAGGATGCGGAAATTTGCGAGGTGCTCGAGAAGGCATTACTGCCATTGGTACAGGTTCTGGCCCGTCATCTTCTGGAGAAACCACTAGAGGTATATCGTAATTTGGGTTTTGGGCATTCTCCATCAAACCATCGACCTCAGATGTTCTTTCGGCCGTGGTTTTGACCCACCCAGGTCCAACCTTGACACAAGCTATCAAACTCCCGACGGCCATGATCCAGCTGAACTCAAACGGGATCAAAAGGAGAACGCTCATTTTATAATGTTGACGATTGACGATCAGGTAGCTCAGAACCAAAGAAAAAGCTAATGTGTATTGGGCCCAGCCAAAAATCAGAACTGTTGGAGGAACATAAAACACGTCAGTGAATGCCAGCGCAAAATGCCATCCAATGTAATAGCCACAAGTTAATAACACTGACTCACAAACCAGTACTAATGGTAATTCTTTAAGAAAGCGAAAAAAGGGCTGCCGAGAGGTGTTGAAGTCGTTACGAAATACTATGGGATGAGCCCCTAATCTCATGGATGACATGTCGAGTAGTGGCATGATGGAAAGTAGATCTGATGGCTGAGCTAAACTTCGATTGATGCTGATTGTGATCTCATTAATGTTCTTGAAGTTTGAGAGAGGATGTGCTGAGTTGGTGTTGGTGTTGGTGAGTTTGGTTGGAATTTGAAAATCAAAGCTTTCTTCGTCATTCACTCATACAGTCACGTTTACCCTGTGATATCCGCTGAGCTCAGGTGATACCTCATTGACATCCTCCTCTGCATCACATATGTCCATCGGAGTCCAGGCTGGTAGTGGCATTTATGTTGGAATTTTTTTGCAAGGTCGACCAGAAAAATTGAAAAAATGATTGAATCCAGATATGCAAATCTGAAAGACTTTCCACAATCAGTATTGACAATTTATAAATCCTCCAGCCATCACCACTGAAAAGCAGTGGTCAAGGTATTTCAGCGTGCTTTATATCTTAGGAGGAAAGATTGACCGGTGTCACTGTCACTTCGTCTTTGTCTTTGAGCTACATTTTCTGCTAATACTATGAAAGGATGATGATTATCCCAAATGCTACAATTGCTTTTTGTAGTCAACGATGAGGGGGTTTGTCAGTGATGGCTTTTCCCAAGCAAGCAAAAGAACAATCCAGCAGGTTGAACCAAGGGTTGCAGGCAGTAAAGATCGGCGCTGGAACTACATCTCGACATATTAAGAAGATTTTTCTGCGAGAGAAGTGATACATCAAATTGGAGGGATATGATTGAGTGATCACTTGAGTACAATGTGTGGTAGGGTATTGATCCTTAATTCTTGATTAGGTTTGTGGGTTGCTATGTTCTGATCTATTTGTTATTGACTTTACTTCTTTCTTGGTCACTTGCGCTTCCAGGACGAGATAGACAAGATCTAATATAGTGACTGTTGAAATATTTGCATTCTGTCAATTCAGATACCTGGACTGCAATGGAGCAATAGATATACCGACTACCAAGAAATTGTTCCTTCAATCAGGAAAGGATTAAGACATATTCAGTTTCAAAAAGTTACATTTTAGACTTCTTCAGTCAGTTCGAAGAAATAATCACCCGCACAAGTTTAGAACAAGATAATAATCAAGATGAAATGAATGTACAAATGATTTGTTTCATTTACTTTTACAATGAGTATTGCCTAGTGCTACAACTTTTCACATACAACTTTTCATTGCGGCTCAGCACCAGGTAATTTGCCATTTGCAATATCGCCTTTAATTTGCACAACACCAAGCAACTGTAAGTTTAGAGCAGATGAGAAACCGAAAGAAAGACGTTTTGGAACAAGCTTACTAAAGTACAATGAGAAGGCGCTATGCCAAGCCGCCTTTCCTCCGGTCTCGATGACGTCACCGTGGCTAACATTCCAGACAAGCATCAGGTCCAGCGCAAGATAACATCCTAGATCAAACCAGTCTATGATGTGCAAATTGGGACTCACCAGGGGATTATGCGATCAAAGTCCCATTGGTAAACTTTGCTGGCCGAGCGGGCCATAGAACTGTCGATAGTATGGTCAGACCATGCGCCCAATATAATTATGTCAGAGGGAGATGGGTCCTGACACTTTGTCCTTGGCAGCTATGTTATAGAGAAATCGTTGATGGAAAACTGTGTCAGGTTTGAGAGTCACAAATCGATCCAAAAAGGTGGTTGGTGACTCGGACGACTTGGAATACTGCGACAGATTGACGCATGTTCATCCCACGTAAGCAGATGTGTAACGATATGGACAACACAGATCAATGACAAACTTGTTCATTCGCCGGAAGATTGAACAGCAGGTCGGCTTCAATCAATGTCTTGCTAGGAACGTGCAAAAAGGCTATATCCTACATTTTTGAGAGTTTGAGAAGCATACATATCAGTGTAGGACGTACCACACGGCAACGAAGTTGGATTAGTGAACAAATACCAACCTTGTTGACGAACCCATCGAAATATTCCGCTTTGATTTCTGACTTGACTGCCCCCTCAGCTTGATCCATGGGATTAGGGCCCTCCGCAGTCCACTCAGCAACTTCTAGATTTGTTTTATGCGCCGAACCTTTAGGTCCATATATCTTGGCACTCGGATAAGCCTTCGCATACTCGGACGTGAAACCAGTGTGTTCTATATCAGCAATGGCGATGTGTCTGTTCAGCGAAAAGGCAGCGCGCGTTTGAGTAAAGATCGGGCCTCGCGAAGCTCATTTTAGAAATGGTGATGTGTCACAAACTTGACTTCTCCGAGTGAATCGATCTTCGTCTTGGTTTCTTCGCCCAGAGGGGTGGAGGCCAATACCCACACAGTATTGTCGGACAGTTTGATGGCAGTTGTTCGACCTCCGATGGGCTGTAAGCCAAGCCTTTTCTAGCAAAGAGAAGTCATATCGCATGAGCCGATCATGAAAATCGTGGAGGTCATAACTGTGTGCTTACGAATGGCTTCGAAAACGTCATCACACCCGGTACAACTTCTCGTATCTAGGTCGTGGTCGTGAAATTCGCAAAAATCAGATATTGACAGTCAGACTAATACGGACATTCGAATCTACTGACTACGACATCAGCCATGGTTTGCGACAGTTTTTTGAGGTGAATGATGAAAATGTGATGAGGTATCTTGCTGCCGAATGATGCGAAGAGATAGGTAGTTGACTCGAGATCCCCAACGAGTCATTGAATACAGCCATGACCATGTGCTACAACCGGCCGGTAATGATTTCGTCTCCGGATCAGGCGATCCTCTTTCATGAATCATGATGCCTGTTGCATACACCACGGGGGCACCCTGACAGCCAAATGGCTGTCCCAGTGGGCCACCAGCAGACCGCCGCTTGTTGCGGGGAGACTGACGGTCTGCGGGTAGCCAGTTTGGCGACGACCGTGTGCCGAACAAAAGGAGGCCTGGCCGCCCAGCATGAGGGCGGCTTTGTGGCGCCTGACGTTTGGCCTTGCGCGACCCTTCGACAGTCAGCAGGCTATTTTCAAAACCTGATGAGACTCATGCCCTTGGGGCCAAACTCCTGCGCGCCTCATCGGCGCTGGCATTTCAATTGGGGCATGAGCAGCTGTCACGATTCAAAACAGTTCATAGCGGGTGTGAAGCGGAGTGCATTACTCGGGGGGAAACTCAAGAAGTGGAAGAAAAGATCGTATTGAATAATAACAAACGAGTGAATGGAGAGATCATTGAAAAAGAAATGAAAACATTTTTTTGGATTGATATGAAAGAAGAGAAAGGATAAAGTCTGATTGATTTCTTTGAGAACGCAATCTATCAATTGTTGCGAAATTCCAATCCTCAACAAAGAAATAACAAAAAACGATCAAAAAAGAAACAATCTTATCTTCCTCACCCTTTATCTAGTCCTAAAGACTCTCGAGCTCTACAACATGATTCAAAAAGAATTAAATTAGAAGCAATTTGTTGGAATAAATCAAATTCATACAAAGAAACTTTTGATCAAACCACTCTAAATCATTCAATCTCTCCTCATCGAATTGCGTCTCGGATTGAAGAATATTAGTATCGGAAACCGTTTTGTTTACAACCTGCAACTTCACAACAAAAACGACCAAAGAGAAGATTTGAAGAGGTCTATTTGTTTCCTATTTAACGAACATTTTAGACCCAGCACGATTATTTGAAACGCGTAGGAGTGTAACTGGTCTGCAAAGGGCCAAAAGCGAAATGAATTGAGCAACGGTTTACTTATATCTTGTTTCCTTTTCTTTTTCAAAAATAATAGATCGAGAGACTTTACGATTGTATTTATCCTGGTTGTACAAAAGGATGTCGGACATTGAATCATCTTAATGCACATGTCTTGAT